CAAAGACCTTCTGCGGTCACATCTGCATCGCGTGCTCCCAACATGCTCAAAACTTCAAACTCCAAACCGCGAAAACATGCAAGATTGGGTGTTTTTAGAATCCCAGGAACCCGGGTCGGGTCCGAAAAAAAATAAAGACGACGCCATTGAACTCTGGTACCTATCCCGAGCCGGAACCGCGCTTGCACAAACTATAATAGAACCCTAACAGAACTCTATGAAGAGGACTGTCCCTTTAAAACAAGGCCATACTCTCCCAGAATCCAATAAGAATACTAAGGATAACAGTAATGGTAATACTAATAGTAATGATAATAATAGTAATACTAGTAGTAGTAATAATAATACTACTAAAAATGACAAGGAACAGATCAAACACTAAAAGTCACCACGAATCAGGTCTAGGGTGTAGGGTTGAAATGATCCCGAAACATGAGATACTTACGGATTGCGTATGTTATAGTATATTGGGGGGTAGTAATATAGTATATTGGGGTGGTAATATTCTAGCATATTGCAGAGATATTATGACCCTGAACCCTAAACCCTACGGATGCAAATTTTGATGCGACAGAGCTTCGGAGAGAGGTTTCCAAGACCTGCCCACAGCACTGATGGAATCTACGTAACCCCAGACCCTAAATCCCAAAGGGGTTTAGGTAACTCTTAAGCCCTGAAACCCTAACCCTCTGTATTTCGGATATATCTCTGTATCTATACATGTATGCATGTATATACATATATCATACTGATGCCTCCATACCCCCGTATAACCCGTTAAAGAGTTCCTAAACCTGAACCCCTCTGCGTCGTGTGCTCACAGCCAAGCTTGGATTTCCAAGCAAATTTGGGCATATGAGCAACAGTCAATATTTCCCATATAATTAATGGACGTGGGTTCCTTGTTAAGTAATACTTTGAGGGCTATGCTAAACTAGCCTAGTCTTGACAGTAGCTCACATGATTCTTGCTGCCACACATCAAGTGGAAAGACATTCATGTTCCGCGAGCAAAGATGCAACTCCTTGATTTACAGCCACCTTAGAAAGAACAGTCTGCTCTAGAGGTTCCATGATAATACCTTCCCGAACACCACTCCTTGCTGCGCATATCCTCACTAGAAACAAATTCTATAGGCAATATCTAACATCACGGGGTGGGGAGTGGTTCATATTCGGGGTGTCAGTCATGTAGAAAGAGCTGGATAAGGTCAAGATAATGCAGACTTTGGCATAGAAATCCAATGAACTCAAACACAATAAACTTGTCGGTTTGAGCCACACATGCCAGCCTCCAATAACTCACATACGTTGTGTCCCCACCCATGCTTCAAGCTACCAAGTGCGCAGTCACATGATACTACATCTTCGATCCTGCTGCAACTCACATCTAGAGATGTGTAGCACTCATGGCACCTGTCTATTCCCGTCATAGAAAAACCACGTGTAAGCACTTTTCAGGCAGGCAATAACAACGAGTATCATACACCTAGACACTAGAATCAACAAGAGAAATCAAAAAAAAATGAGTACTGCTACTCATCTTCTCTGCCTGGGACACCAGGGAGTTCTTTTCGGGAGCTGCACCAGCCGCCATTGCAACGGGCTTCAGGCTACATTTGCGAAGATAAGCTGACTCAGGGTCAAGGCTCAAAACTTTAGGGGTTCAGCTGTTGTAGTTGAGACCTGTCTGGCTTTGGTTTGGAATGTCGAAAGCTATTTGATTCAAATGGCTTGCTCTTCTTTCATTGGGCCAGGCATCATGTCTGTTGAGGGAGGTCTGAATTCAAAGAAGTTAAGCCTGTTAAGTTACCTCACTGCGGGGAACAAAAATGCCCCGTTACATCTGGGTCTGCAGACTCTACAAATTCTAAAGAAAATGGTCTCCTCAATGTGAGGAACCCAAAAATGGGACCATGATTTTGCAACACACTCACATTGAAATTGAAAATAAAATTGCCTTCCCTTTCTCGTATGCGCAGGGTCGCGCAGGGATAATTGCGGCGAAAGGGTGTTCTGGCAGAAGGCGCTGGAGCACAAGATTCTGAAAGTATGGGCTCTCAATGCGGACATGACTCTTTGCAGTGCCCTCTTTGGGGGGGTTACTCGGAGGGTCAGGGGGACTTAGTGAGTAGGTCAACAACCCCTTATAAACCATGTAGTAACCCAAATTGCCCCATTTTTAACCTACTTACTAAGTCCCCCCGAACCCCAACCTAAACCCTAAACCCCAAATAATAGAGTCGTCTCCAGTTTCTTTTCCATTGTTACTAATGAGTCCCCCTGAAGGTGTAGGTTTTAGGTTGTTGGGTTCCATGTTGGAGCGCAGGTCCTGTGGTTACGTACATGTCCTCTGGCTTACACATGGTTTAGGGATCAAAAGCGTGGGGTTCAGGGCTTCATGTTTAGGATTTACAGTTAAATACCCTAAACCCTAAAAAACCCTAGACCCTAAACCCTAAGCCCTATGAGGTTCAGAGTTTAAGGGTTAAAGCGTAAAGGTCTGGAGTTTGGGAATCAGAGTGCTTTTACCTGCAGAAAAGGACGCGGTTATGGTTTTGGGTCTAGGGCTTAGGGATTTGGAGTTTAGGGGTTTAGGGTTGAGGGTTGAGGGTGAAGGAACATGTTGCCAAACCATTTCCTTCATCCATAGGAAAAAAAATCCTGCGTAACCCTAAGTATATCATATACTAAGAATTATAGTACTATACTATAGTAAGGTCATGCAGGATTTTCATATCGACAGTAGGGACCAAAGAAATACAGATGGATTGCACGGAGCTTATGGAATCCCTATTTTGGATTACATAGGGATCACATTGGGAAGCTCACATATAATTTTGGTTCTGATAAATGATATTCATGTCAGCATTAGGAGGGGTAGGCGAAGAAGTTTATTGTCATTGCTGCTGTTGTTGGTTTGTTGGCAACTCCAGGTTTGGAACTCAAACACTCCTACCAAATCCCGAAACCTAAACCTTAAACGCTAAACCCTAAACCTTTTATTCTCTAGACGCTGCCCACTCCTGCTGCAGAAGATGGCTTCAACTCCTGGGATCCTTACTTGGAGATTCGGGCATAGTTACAAATAGAACTGTTAGCCCCCAAACAAGCTTATCATCAGGAACCTACCCTGTACATTGCGAGTTATAGCTGCCCAACTACCTCCAAGTAGTGGGAGGTTCCCAAAAAAAGGAGGCCTAACATAAACAAGCATGCCAGAACAGGTACCCCCTAAAAAGACCCCCAAATTTTCGGAAACCCCCTCGTGGCTACGGCCAAACGAGGCTTGCAACGGCACATCCCTTATAGGGCTCCGCACTCACCTCCCAATGCGGCCTCCTCTGGGGGTTGATCTCCGTGGCGCAGGCTTTCGTGTATACATATATATATAGTATGTATATATATATGCTTTACGAGGGCTGTACGATTATGGCATACCATCATAAACATTTGGTATCGTGCGATATAAGACAAAACCTGGTCAAAAGTTGAATGTTTGCCTACCTAGTACCCCACACAACACAGCCTCACCCACCCCCGGCCAATCAGGTGTGAGGACTTGCCACAGTGAAGCAAAATGTAAGTTTCAATGAATCTGGTGACTATGGGTCCATGTCCACTATTTATGACAGCATATAAGGCAGTACCGATTGAAATTCCTCAGTTGCCCAGACACCAGGGGCGAAGGGAGGTAAAGCGGTGCGTCTTCTATTGCACGGCGCTCGCTGGCCCAAAATATAGGTGGTCGTGGAAAATCCGCGGCAACCGCAAAATGGGCTACTAGGTACCTGCTCCACAGCTCTTTTGCAACAAACATACTCCAGTCCTTTCAAGCACTCTGTTGGGGACTTTGTATTCCATGATCGCACAGTAAATACCAAATTCCTCCAAACTTCTGGACATGGAAGAACGTCCTTCTGAAAAATGAAGCTTTGTATGTCTCCAGTGAAAACCCTATTCAACATTGCAAGTCACATTGCTTCATGGCACTTTTGAGTTGCCCATACCACGCAGAAGCCGCAATTGAAAATTGAAGAGATCGACGCGACCCTTCACAACTTGTAGAGCTCTCGAGGGTTTCCATGGCAGTATCGTTGAGAAGGAATACTCGAGTCCAAATTGCATTAATGCTTTACGGTTTAGGATTTAAATTTCAATTGAAAGCTAAATAAGAGTTAAAAGCTTTGGCTTCAAGCTCAGGTCAAGGCTTTCTAGGCTGAAGATTCAAGATGTTCCCCGTACTGGGCCAGCAGTGGTCACATGAACTTTATTTAAGCAATCACCACCAACCCTAAAACTCAAAACGTGAACCCTTCACGCCCCCAAACCCTAAGCCTCCAGCCCTAGCTCTAAGCCCCCTACGCCCGGACGCCGCCCTAAGCCACTTACCATGTCTTACTGTAAATGTGAGATGTAAATTCCTGCAGTGCTGCTGAAGCAACAGTTTTCCTGAAGCAGTGCATGCATCCGAAGACATGCTTTGTCTTGCAGCAAGCCTGTTTGACCAGCTTTGCTACCGCGCCTCTCCAGGCACAAGAGCAGATCGTTAGTGAGAAAACAGGTGCGGATCAGGGCTTGCCAGTGGCAAGCTCTCGTAGGTTGTCCCTGGTAGCGGAGCCAGCGGCTCTAGTTTGCAATGGCCGACTCCGGCGCTGATCCTTGGGCACTGCCGAGCAATGACCCTTGGGCAAGTTCTTGGCCACCGGCCAACCTTGGCAACAACGAGCCGAACGATTCTGGCGTTCAAGCTGAACCCGCACAAGTTGTTGACAACCAAGCTACGACTAGCACGGCTGCTCCGCTGAACTCTGGGCAAAATCAGACTGGGGAGTGGTGGGGTAACCACTCATGGGCTGCTGAGACCTCGGCCGGAGGCGACAACACCAACGGCGAGAGTGAACGACGACCCTCAGCGACTTCTACGGCTACGACTACGGCAAGCCAGAGGCAAGGAAACGACCAGCTCTTCCAATTGGCGAGCAGATGACCGCAACTCAGGCTCCTCGGAAGACAACCACAGCGACGGACCTCGTGCTGAACAAGCCGATCCTCCGGCAGACCCTCGACCAGATGGCGACTCGAACCTCCCGAAGGCGAACGCTGGCGATGGACCTCGACGACTATACGGCCCGATCCTCCGGATGCACGCGACCATGGACGACCACTCGGACGAGAGCCCGAACGACCTCACGGACGATCGAACGGCACGGAGACCTCCAGCTATGGCGGCAAAGGACCTTCCGAGAAGCTTCTCATTCCCACCTTCAGCCGTGAAGATGGCGACGGAGACCTGGAAACTTCAGCCCGCAGCTACTTGCGAGAGGATGACCAAGTTGGCCCCTAACCAACAAGCCTTAGTCCTCTACCAACATCTCCAAGCTGCAGCTTGGGTCAACGCAGAGTCCCTGGACGTCGACCGCCTTGGCGACGTCGATGGCGTCGACTACTTGAAGGACTGGATTCGCCAGCACTACTTGGACGTGGAGGTGACTTCTGTTGGACGCTCCCTCAGTGACCTCGTTCGCAAGCTCCGACGCCGTCCTTCGCAGACGTTCCGCGACTATGCTGCAGAGTTCAATCGCCTTTTGGCTCGCGTTGTGGAGTGTGGATGCCGACTACTTGACGTGGCAACCGCCTGGCTATTTGTGGACCGCGCCAACCTTGACGAGACCACCGAGGTGAGCCTCTTGGCGTCTGTCGGAAATCGATATGCCCTTCGCGAACTTCAACAAGCTGCTATCATGCTCGACCGCTCCATGCGCAAGCCCTGGGAGAAAACGGGACGACAAGACGGAGGACAAAGGCACCATAACTGTGCATCACACCTCCGACACCGAGGCCCCTGACGAGGACGAGACTGTTGGCGACGACGAGACATCAACCCAGAACGCCGACGACCAGGATCACGATGACCTCTACATCGCCTACCTGACGGGCAAGATCAGGAATGAAGGCGGGAAGGGCAAGAAGTTCGACCCCGAAGCTGTTCGCCGTACGGCAGAAGACCGAATAAAAGCTGCCAAGGCGAAAAGCTTCTGTTCAAGTCTGCCCGCGCCGTCGTGGAGACAGCACCGGCACTGACTCCCGCGATGAGGGCCGAAAGAGTCCATGTCGTGAACGAAATTTACGAGGTTGCTGTGGACACCACCGGAGGACCCCTAGCCATCACCGATTCCGCATGCTCCAAGAACGTGATGGGCACTGGCAGGTTGCAGAAGTATCTGGACATGATGCGTGGTCGCGACTTCAACCCTGACTTTGTGCACGAGCGCGAGGCCTTCCGGTTCGGTGCCAGCCGAGTATACGAGTCTAGCTATGCGGCGCTGATTCTCATCCCACTTGGAGGCAAGTGGATTGCAGTCAAAGCTGGGGTTGTTTCATGGAGATGTTCCTCTACTCCTGTCGCGACCCTGCTTGGCTCATCTCGTCATGGTCCTCGACCTGGAAAAGAACACCTTTGACTTCCGCGCTGTCAATGTGCAAAACTTTGCCTTGCACAACACCAGCACTGGCCACCCGGCCATTCCTGTCAGCCACCAAAGCCTGACTCTGCCCTGCGTCAAGAACCTGCCAAAGGCGTGGAGAGACGAGGGAGTCGAGACCCTCAATCCGCGTGTGGTACACATGACCAGCGCTGCTGGGACGGGGGGAGTTCAGGGCTCCGTAGGTCCGAAGTATATCGAGTCCAACATCGATTACCCCAACGCGCAGAACTACCCCAAGATCTTCTTTGACAAAAAGATAGATGAGGCCACCAAGAGGATGCTAAGCGGAGACTCCCTGAACCTCAACACGTTCCTACGCTGGTGGAATAGTACCAACATCTCCAATGACTTCTGGATAGAAGGCCCCGAGACCCTCGTCAGAGCGCACGTGACCCCCCGCAGGACCCTCCTTGAAAGCCTCGGGGATCTCAGGGAGACTTGGGGCATCGCATGCTGCACACAGAGGGAGCTCACAACTGTCACGGATCAGTGGAGATTTTCTTCAGAGCAAGGTCATCATGTTTTGTGGATCGGCCGAAGTGTCTTCAATCGAGCTGCTCGCACGCCCTGCCCTCCTTCCCGCTGTCATGAGCCAGGTGACACCATGGAAGCTCAACAAAGGCGAGTTGGTGGCCGAACTGGGCAAGCTCAACATCACCGTGAATCCTCGTTGGACCGTGCCCGAACTTCGCCATGCGCTGACCCAGGAGCTGAAGGCCAGGAAGGGTGCGAGCAACGCCCCAAAGGGGATCGCGAGCATGAACCTATTTGAAATTGGAGACAGCCACTCGCCTGGGCATCTCGTTCACGACGAAGGACACGAAGGCCCTGCTTCTCCTCCGCATCCGCGACACCACCTTCCCGGACGCTACGATAATGACGCTGGGGCGGTTTCAGGGAACCATGTACAAGGACGTCCGGAGAAGCTATGCCGATTGGACCGTACGAGAGATGGAAGTTAACCGAGGTAATATGCATTCCGATCTTCATCGCTTTGCGCTATGGCATCAGGATCGAACGAAGGCGGAGACCCAAGGCTACTCGTACCAAGGCAACCGCTTGGACCGGTGTGAGGAGGAGGCGAGAATTCCACCACCACCTTTGTCGGAAACTGGATCGTCAGCGAGTTGGACGGTGATACATGGAGAAGATCGACCTCGACAGGCCCCACCGAAGACATCCGGAACTACCAGGCGGAGGACCAAGATACCATCGACCGCGACCTCGAGCACCAAGAAGGACCACTTCCCCAAGGACACGACGACGACCCGACTCGACCGATCCTCCCGAAGGCCTACGCTTCGACCCGACGTCGCGCCGAGGCAACGGGTCCCATGACGGCAAGGATGGATCAAGATGTTCCCGAGATCGTGAAGCAGGAGATCCAAGACCTGGAGACGCGCTTGGCCCTTTCGAGACGCCTCGGGACTTTCCCGGAGACAGTGAACAGCCCTGCTCTTGATGACCAGGACGACGAGTTCTACAGTTCTACGACGCCGAGGACGGAGTCGACGCCACCGACTCCAATCCGGACAATTAACAAGGCCTCCCAGGGATTGCTCGATTACACGACCCCGAAGTGCGACAAGGCGAACACGCAGGACTTCGATGGCGACCAGACCGAGCACTATCCCCAGGCGAATCTCCATGGCACGAACCGGAAGTACGACGAGGTGAACTTTCAGGACTTCGATGGCGACCAGACCGAACACTATCCCCAGGCGAATCTCCATGGCACGGACCGGACGTACGACGAGGCGCACGAGACCGAGCACTATCTCCAGGCAGATCCCATCGGCACGAACCTCGACCACGGCAATGGCTATCTTGGAGAGCAATCCCGTCAGGACATATCCTCCCACGACATGCACCACGAGCACCACGCATCCGAACCTCTTCGGGCCACGAATCCTTTTCCTGAGGAGTCACCTGACGACAACCTCAACGCCAAGAGCCATGCCGACCTTTTCCTCTCCAATGATGAGGTGAAGACTACAATGTTTCCCGTGCCTTCTACCGAGGCTTTTGTCACAGCTAAAGCTGAACGACCTCCTGGAGAACCTGGCCCTAACGATGGAGAGCTGGTCGCCAAGAAGCATCTACTTGCAAACTTGTTGCAAGCTGATGATCTTGAACGAGTACTGCAAGCACAACGCATACCTCTGGCCAGGGGTACACGCAACAGCGCTCACCCTGCCGGGTCTCCCCACCGTCATGTACTTGGCTACTATGCGTACGGGGGCTTCCATGGGATATGTCGAGACACCTCGAAGCGCCCCTGGCTTTGCTGCTTTCTCAACGCTTTCTTCCAAGAGCAAGCTCTGCGGCAAGGCCTTGATGCTGGAAGTTGGTCTTCCTTCTCCATACTTCACAATGGCTCCACGGAGGTCCACACTGCGGCGATTACGTCAACGGCCAACTCTGGATCGAACACCCTGACGGCGACACCTGGCAGCGTGGGCCTCAAGGAGAAGAACTACGTGGAGTTTTGGTCGACAGCGCGCAACCACCTCACCGAGTTCGATCCTCGATCCCGGCACGCCGTGGAACCCTGGACTGGTCACCGATGGACTGTCACTGCCCTCTGCTCCCGGGGCATTCCCTGAGCGACACGACCTACGACACATGAAAGAGATCGCCAATCATCAACCTCGAGCACGACTACCAGAATCCGGACCGAAGCCCCAGAGGAGTACCCGGAAGACGCTCTGGAAGACCGCTATCCTGGAGATTGGGGCCCCATCTGCTACGTGCGAAGCGATCGATCAATGTGGTGACTGCATCGAGGTCGCCGAACCCGTCATGTTCGAGGACCTGGCTGAGGGCTATGGCGACATTGCCCACGAGCTCGGCTTCACGACGACGGGATCTACGAAAACGTCATCGAGAGCATCGAGCACCAGTTGCAGGCCGGACGCGCAGTGGTGTTCGAACGAGACCCAGATGAAGCAGAGTTCTGGGAACAACTCCTTGAGGAATGGGGACATCCCAGGTTCTACACCCTCCGGGACTACATCAAGAACGGGAACGAGTACCTTCGCATCTCCACCGTCTTTCCCAACAACGAGATCTACGCGGCCGATGCCGAGAACGGGGATGCTCACCAGGACGAGCACCGAGCCGGGGCCAGCGGCATCGACTTTCATCGGGGGACCGCTCCCCACATTGCCTCGACACTTCGCCCACGTATTTGGCATCCGGGCACCGTCTCTACAGACCTCGAAACGGGCCTACAAAAGGCCCTGGCCCGCCTGGGCGACTGGACTGGCAAGCGACACTGAGGACCAAGCACCCCGTGGAAGAACATGTTCCAGCCCGTGTGCGAGGAAAAGAACATGGACAAGTCCGACACGCCGGCCGCGATTGCTGCCATCACTCCCTCCGCAAGGTCAACGGCTTCAGCCCGCGACAACACGTGTTCGGAAGCGACGAGGCCCTCCTGGAGGACTTGGTGGACGGACCGCACGCGCACGACCCCATCCGACACCATTCTGATCGACGACAAGCACTCTCGTGATCGAGGTCGCCATTCGCACCGCCGTCCGAGCTGCCCACCATCACGTCCAGACCAACGATCGTGTTCGCCGAGCTCTTGCCGGACACAAGCCCAAGCCCCAGACATTGGCGAGAGGGTGTTCTTCTACCCCGCCTCGCTCGCAACAACAAGCGAGGCACCTGGCAGGGCCCCGGGGTGGGAACAAGAGACATATGGGTGTCAAAAGGAGGGCGCTGCTTGCTATGTGCTCCGGAGCATGTACGCCTCGCCACCAACGAAGAGCTCGGAGAGATGTTCACCCTCCGTGCCACCCAAGCAGATTTGGCAAGACTCCTAGCCGCCGACCAGGAGGACGAAGAGGTTTTTGTGGGCAAACAAGCTGCCGAAGATGACGATCCCGGGCTTGCCAAGGACATGTTCGTTGACGAGGACGAGGGCGACGCACCGATCGAGCTGATTGCACATGAGGAGGACGCTGACGACGAGAGGGACGACCACCTTGCCCCAGGCTGGCTACCGACCAGTACGAGCACTGGACCTTCGACCCCCGCCTGGTCCTCTTCGACGACACCGCCGCAAAGGACCTGAGTACTACACCGAGGCGGTTCACGAAGCATGGATGTTGGTGTCGGCCAAGACGAAGGGGTCTCTCGAGAAGCAGTTGGAGAAGGAGATCCCGTGGCGGTTGATACCCGCCCATAAGCGGGAAGCCTTCCAGGAGGCAGAAGCCAAACAATGGGCAGAGCACCTTGCTCATCAAGCTATTGAAGTTTTAGACGTGGCCACCAGCCGTGCTGTTCGAGAACGAATCGACCCTCGACGAGCGCTGCCAAGCCGGCACGCATACAAGGACAAAAACCTGGGGCGCCGCCGGGTTGACCCTTCACTCCCTTGGCGCCCTAAAGCGCGCCTAGTAGTGGGGGGGCATGTCGACCCCGACGTCGACGAAGTCAAGAAGCACTCTGCATGACTCACCGACTGTGTCACGCACGGCCCTGATGTTGGTGACCACAGTGACCCAGACCAGCTTCGTCGACGGAAGGTTGTTCACCGTCGACAGCCTCAAGGAGCTTCCAGACGATGCCCCGCCGACGAGGAGATGAAGATCGACAACCGGTCTTTGATTGGAGCCCTGTCATGGCTCGCAGGTCAGACCCGGCCCGATCCTCAGCGCGGAGTCGCTCTGGCCCAACAAAACTTCAACGCTGCTCCACGGTCGGAGATTCACCAACAGCTTGGCGAGGAAGGCCGAGAACCCTGTGGCCCGTCGACCTCGACAAGGCCTCCCTCGTTGTCTACCACGACGCGGCCTGGGCCAACGCGGAGCTCGACGACCCCGAAGACGACTTCAAGCTCACTCCCAACAACCTCGAGGCCGGGACGATGAAGAAAGGCCCCTACAGCGGAGACCGTCATCGACGAGCCAAGCGATCACGGTCAAGGGTGGCTTCCCAACTTGGACACCTCATCTTCCTCGGCGAGGCCAAGGAGGAGGAGAATACCGGGACTCACCTGAGTCTCCTCGAGCGGCGAAGCCAGGCATGCCAACGTGTCTGTCGAAGCACTTTTGGAGCCGAGACGATGCCCCGCGTGGAAGGACTGGAGAATGCCCAGTACATCCGGGCCCTCTTGGCAAGCCTGCTCAAAGGGAGGCTCGTGAAGCTTGGAGGCCCGGGGCACCCTGAACCTGCTCCGCCTGTCCGACTGCCAGTCCCTCACGGAACACTGTCACCGAACTGGAGTTCCTCGAGTACCAACAGATCGTCGCCTGGCGATCGACCTTGCTGCTCTTCGGCAGGAACTGCGAGCTGAACGTCGACATGGACGCTATCCTGTCGCTTGGATCCCTACGAGTACTCAGCCCGCCGACCCCTTGACCAAGCCGATGCAGACGACTGCCTGGTGGGAGACCCTGCAAGGAAGGGTTGTTGTTCCTTGGAAACCGGGGAACACATTGTTGAGCAGTGTAAATGTGAAGATGTAAATTCCTGCAGTGCTGCTGAAGCAACAATTTTCCTGAAGCGGTGCATGCATCCGAAGACATGCTTTGTCTTGCAGCAAGCCTGTTTGACCAGCTTTGCTACCGCGCCTCTCCAGGCACAAGAGCAGTTCGTTAGTGAGAAAACAGGTGCGGATCAGGGCTTGCCAGTGGCAAGCTCTCTTAGCTTGTCA